AAACAGTTGTTAAATAGCCATTTCTACAATGTCATAATTTTCAAAATTATTAGAGGGAATTTAGATAATCTAGGTTTTTGTCCTATTCTGCCATTTATTAATTGAATGACTTTCAAGACTGATTCATTCAACACAGATATTTTTTTTCACACTTGTTCTATGCCAGGAACTGTACCACACAGTGAAGAAATAGCAGTGAACAGAATAGATGACAACCCCTTCCATCATGGAGTTTCATAACCTAGAGCCAGATTTCTCTCCATAAAATCAGAGTTGGACTAAGGTCTTCCCAAATCTAAACTCCTGTGAAACATCTAAATTCTTTGAAAAATGATTTTCATGTTAATACCAATATGAAGTAAAATCTAACACCAGTCAAATCACATCATAACCAGTCTCTGATATGAGTCAACAAGTACCAGTCCTTCCTTCCAATGATAAATATCTTACAATGAAGTGACACTGTCATGTTTCTAAAAGATTAACTTTGACTTGGGCTGATATAAAATGTTGGACCTCTCTAGCTCTAAGTGCTGGGTCTGCCAAAGACAAAAGGGGAAAAAAAAAAATCGTTACATTTCAGGGCAATTAACAAAGATTAGAAAGGAAGCTCCATTTTATCCCTGGGAAAGATGTATCTGTTCTGTACATGTCCTGCTCACTGAAAAGATAAAGAGCAACTTGTACTCTAACTAAATTTTATTTGCATGATGACTTTATTGATTCTTGATGGTTAGACCAAAAAAGGTAAAGCTGATTATTAGTGGACAAATTATATAGTAAAAACTAAATTAGCCTAGATTTTCAGCTGCTTCATTACAAAATTAGGTAAAGAAGGTCATAATTTTTTAATTTGTGTCCAAATCTTAGCTGGAGAATGTTTTAAGGGAGCAAATGATACAAGTAATTTTAGAGGACTGGAAGGTCCAAGTATCCAAGCCTATAAACTTTACATTTACAAACATAATTAGCACGCTACATTACTAAAAATCTCCTGAGAGGTGTTTGCATAGGGAATCTAATTCTCTAAAGAGAAATGTCAGCTATTTTGATCATAACGGTAGTTGGCTCAATGATGGCCACACAAATATACCAGTTTCTCATCTCTGGAATATGTAAGTGTTACCGTAGATGGTAAAGTTTTGCAGAGGTGCTAAATTTAGGATTTGAGATGATATTATCCTTGATTATCTGGTGGGCTCTAAATACAATCACAAGTATTTTTATAAGAGAAAAGCAGAGGAAAAATAGACAGAAATACGGATGAGGAATAGGCTATGTGTCCACAGAGGCAGAGATTGGAGAGATGTGGCCACAAGTGCAAAAAAAAAAAAAAAAAAGCAATAAATAAATTCTGTTTTAGAGCCCCTCTGTTGTTGTTGTCATGTGCTGTCGAGTCGGACCCGACTCATAGTGACCCGTCCTTGGGTTTCCGAGGCAGTATCACTACAGAAGTAGATTGCCCCATCTTCCTTCTGAGAAGTGGCTAGTGGGTTTGAACTTTCAGCCTTCTGCTTAGCAGTCAAGTGCTGTAGGCACTATGCTACCAGAGCCTCTCTAGGTGGTGCAAATAGTTAATATACTTAGTTAATAAGAGATACCTTGGAAGATAGACCTGGTGGTTTACTATCAAAAGATCACAGCCACTGAAATCCCTGTGGAGCACAGATGTACTCTGATACACATGGGATTGTCATGAGTTGGAATCCACAATAATTGGGAGAGCCTCTGGAGGGAGTGTATTCATTCTAACACTTTGATTTCACTTCAGCAAAATTGATTTTGGCCTTCTGGTTTCCAGAACAAGGAGAATAAATCTGTTTTTTTAAAGCAACATCTCTAAATTCCTTAAGTAAGTTTAAGGAATTGCCACTAAGTTTGTGGCAATTAGTTTCAGCAGTCAAAAGAAACTAATTCACTGAGAAATACATATCAATTTCTTGATATTCCCTGATCATAGGATATACTTCCTGACTCACCCATTTCTCTTGAACCAGTTGACATTGGATGGTTGATACTGATAGTTTATGTGGGCACTGAGCTAATATGAGCAAAAATATATATGTATGCAGTAATTGATAGGAGCTCTGGTGGTATAGTGCCTAAGGCATTTGACTGCTAACCAGAAGGCTGGTGGTTCAAACCTACCAGCCACTCGTCGGAAGGAAGGTTGAGCAATCAACTTCTGTAGTGATATTGCCTCAGGAAACCTATGAGTCGGATACGACTTGATGGCAGTGAGTTTGGTTTTTGGGTGCAGTAAACGATAGTGAGTTTTTCTTCATTAAATTCATAAAATATTAACTTGATATGGACTTTCAAGCTATATAGTAATTTTTCTTATGTTATAAAATGGAAATTAAAGCCCAGACAGGTAAATAAAATATGCTAGAAATCACACAGTTGGTTAATGGTGGAACCATGATGATAAAACCACTGTGCTCAAGTCAATTTTAATTCATAGTGGCTCTATATAACAAGGTTTCTAAGGCTTTAATCTTTATGGAAGCAGACTGTCCAGTGGAGTGGCTGGTGGGTTACAACTGCGTACCTTCTGGTTAGCAGCCAAATACTTTAACCACTGTGCCACTAAAGTTCCTACTGATGTTGTTGTTGTTGTTATTGTGTGCCATCAAGTTGGTCCCAACTCATAGCGACCCCTCCTTGAGTTGCCAAGGCAGTATCACTACGGAAGTAGATTGTCCAACCTACCTTCCAAGGAGTGGCTTGTGGGTTTGAACTGCCAGCCTTCTGGTTAGCAGTCAAGTGCCTTAGGCACTATCCTACCAGAGCTCCTCCTACTGATGATAGAGGAGGTCTGTTGACCCCTAGCACGATACTCTTCTCATCATTGCATCTTGCCAGTGCTCTCTGTCTTGATAGGTTCCAGCCTACAACCTCTTGTTCATTCTATAAAACCAAAACACCAGCACCAAGAGCAAGAATGAAAAGGGTCAAAGTAGAAGGAGCCTCGGTGGTCGGTTTTGTTGTTCTTAGAAATAAATACCTCTATATGTTTGTGAAGAGTTTGTACAGCTAGTTTGCATGTCAGCAGCAGGACTGGCATCTTAGAAGCTGAATTTCCCCATCTGGAGACTATCAGACTAGACAAGGCTTACAATTTAATACGGGTGTATAGATCTGGAGCCTGATGGAAATTAGGTCAGATCCAAAATGGAATCAAGTAGCTGACCACAAGTCAGAATTTTAATATGGATTCAAAGCAAAGGGAAGATATCTAATTCTATAAATTCACTGAACACCATGTGGAAACACTAGAGTATGTGATGAGGGAGCCTTCATAAAAAAAGTTATGGGAAAGGGAAAAATATTGAGGGACTGAAAATGTTTTAGTGCAAGTATTATCCTGACCTTGAGATTTCTTTTAACAAACTCTTCTCTCTCCTTTCCCCCCTCTCTCCCTTTCCAGCCCTCTCCTTCTCTTCTCCAGTTCTCTTTATCCAGGATACTTCTACTTTCACTCTGTGGGTTTAGGTCCCTTCCTTCATTTCTGTGAATCCAGCTCCACAGGCAAGTACAGAAAAAGTGCTCTTATACAGAAGAAATGAAAACCACCCTGAGATGAAAATTATCAGAACACATCAGCTGCTTTGTGTAGCTCAGGACAAAATTGAGATGTGTAGGGACATTTCTTCATTTCTGAGAACTGGGCCCACAGGCTGGGCATAGAAAAAGTGCTTTTATAGGGAAGATAAGAAAACCATTTTGAGATGAAAATTATCAGGACACATCAGTTGCTTTGTGTAGCTCAGGGATACAATGGAGATGTGTAGGGGCATTTTTAAGAACTGAGGCAAGGGATTCATTCCTCTGTACCTGCTTGCTTAAAGTCGCCAGCTCATTCTCCAATGATGCCCTTTGAAGGCTTTGTATATGCCCTATGGTGAGAGAGTGCACTCATGAGAGCCATTGCAGGGATGTTCCAAATGGCTTGTGCCACTAAGGGCTGACTGGAGCATTTTCTTTCCTGGGAGTCTCTTGTGGCTTTATCCCTGTGTAAAGATCTAAGTTTCTTCCAAAAGTTCAAAATTGATTTTAGGTACCAAAGATAAGTGAGTAATTTTCTAGCCAACTAAGAAATTAAGAAAAAAGATTATTTTGAATAAATACCAGATTGACAAAAAAATAACCTATATAGGGTACTATAACAGCTCTCTAAAGTATATGACTGTGAGAAGAATGCAAATATTTTAGGAAAGAAGATTATAAATTTCTGGGTTTAGCAGAAGTTTAAAAATGTTCATGTGCAGCAGGTTTCAATTCATCTGTGTAGAATTATATAACAGAAAATCTACCTTAAACTCCATATTTTGTGGGGACACAAAATTTTTCAAATTGTGTTTTTGAAAATCCAGTACTTTCTACCATCACATATTATTAAAGTACACTAAATTTGGAAATTTTGCCATAATGATAGCTACATATTTTTTAAAGGAAAAAAAATGTAAAAATGTATTTTCTATTAACTTATAGCCTCAAATACAAGTGATCTTTTTTTTTTTCTAATTTAAAAATGTTGCTGTGATAGGGTAGTTACCTAGTGATTTACTGTTACTAGTTTTACATTGGAATATGTCCAGATCGAATATTAACATTTGAACAGCTCTACAGCCTTGCTAGATACTTTGACTAATTACTGTACCTTGAAAGCTTAACTCATGACTCTTTGTGTGTGTGTGTGGGGAATATATCTATATCTATATACCTATGTATATAGATATAGATATATTCCCATATACCTATGTATATAGATATAGATATATTCCCCCCACACACACACATACATAGTGTCATTCCATAAAACTTTCTCCAAAACAATGGCTCGTATCATGGACAACAACAAAGATAAAAACAAAATATAGGATAAATTGAATGCCAGAGGGCACATATTTATAGACTCATCTTTCATCTCCTCCAAATTCCAGACAATCTTAATTTTCAACTTAAAAACGGAAAAGTTGACAAACATAAGCCCTTACCAACTTCCCACTTCAGAAGGCTGTTGTCTTCCCTCTCCATTTTTCCAATGACATACCAGATACATGCCATCCAGTGTGCAAGGAGTGCAAACATGGACATGAGCAGAGTCAGGACGACTGTGCTGTGTTGGGAATAACGGTCTAACTTCTGCAGGAGACGCAAAAGACGCAGCAGCCGCACGGTCTTCAGGAGATGCACAAGAGACACCTGTGGCAGGAATCAGAGAAGCACAGCTTGGCTCCTGGGTTACATTCATACTGCAACATTTTTACTTGCAGTCATTCTGGAAAATTCTTGAAATTAAGTACAGTCATGATTCTAATACTATGATCATTCCTGTGACTGTTCTTTGAGCATGACAAATTGCATTGGGAGGTGATAAAGGATAAAGGAAGGTAGAGAGTTTAATATCTTAGACAAATACTTATCTTCCTTAACTATGATTAACCTCTTTTTCTCTACTGTCTGATTTCATAGGCTTTTACATGAAATCATATGATTTTATATTTTCTGATGAACAACCAATGACATTATAGTACCAGAACTGAACATAAGATGTTCTTTCATTCCCGTCATCTCCCTCTCTCTCATGTAAGGTAGTTGCTTTAACAATAATTTGTACAGCTCAAAAAGTCTAGAAAATGTTAATAAAAGTAATGTAGGGTTTATATATGTGTGTGTGTGTGAATATATATATATATATAATTAGATGCATAAAACTTTAATAAGCTCTCCTTACAAGTACCTGTCTCAAAGACCATATTATCTTCCATTAAAATTATCAACAGGCAGAGAAAATATTTGCCTGAAGCAGATGTATTCATATCTCTCTCTCAAACAAATGTATTTAGGGAATTAAAATCAAATGGGAAGAAAAAAGCCTTTGAAAAATCTCATAGGTCTTTTAGTGCATTTAGTGCATGCCCTAAGCAGTAGACTTGTAGCTAGGAGAATATTTTCCTGACTATAGGGTCCAATTGATAAATGTGCACTATTTGTGGTCACCAAGTGGTCAATATCACTATTAATAACAACTCTGGTGCATATAACATTACATACTTTTCCTGCCCTCAAATATTTTTTCCATTCTAAAATGGAAAAGATAATAAAATATTAACCCATATGCAAATACAGTTTGACAAATTCCTTGACCTTATTTACTTTCTTTGGGGGAACCATAAGTACAGAGGAAAGAGTTGGTGTGTATGACTGTACTTAAGGACAGGTTTTCCTTTACACAATAGAATTATAAACTGGGTAAGTGTCTTTTGAACATTTGAATTTACAGCTAGCCAGTCAGTTGACTTCTAGTTTATTCTTTTATTAGCCATTTCCCATTATTTCTAAGAAAATGTACCTAGCACAGTGCTTGGCAGAGTAAATATTTGATATATTTGTTAACTGAATAACTGAATAAATAATTCAGTTAAGAAATAAAAGGCTACAAATGCAGCATGTTGTTGTTGTTATGTGCCATTGAGTCAAACTTGACTCACAGCGACCCCTCCTTGGGTTTCCAAGGCAATATCACTATGGAAGTAGATTCCCTATCTTCCTTTGGAGAAGTGGCTGGTGGGTTTGAACCACCAGCCTTCTGGTCAGTAGTCAAGTGCCTTAGGCACTATGCTACCAGAGCTCCTGTCAAATGCAGCATAGCAATAGATATTCAATAAAAATGTGTTGAATTGTAATCTTGTAAATTATTCTACACACAAATATAATAAAATCTTAAGGGTGATTAAAGAACTTGGTGACAGCTAGCTATGCTTTTTTTTAAAAAAATAACTTTTTGTTGTGATTTAAGTGAATGTTTACAAAGTAGCGGATTTCCATTCAACAATTCATACACATTCTGTTTTGTGACATTGATAATCCCCATAATGTAACAGCACTCTTCCTACTTGCTTCCTGTGTCTATTATTTCCATTTGTCCTTCTTTCCTATCCTTTTGTGCCTTCTGAGCTTTCTCACTAGTCAAATGCTTCCCTTCTGATCTTGTATTGATTGTTCTAAGGAGGAAGTACCTCCCTGGTGTTATTAACCTTATAGGCTAAAAGTTGAGACATTGGAGTGGCTTCAGTTCTAGGCTGAAGGGTGTCTAAGTACTACAGTCTCAAGGGTTCTACTAATCTCTACGAAGCCAATAAGACTGATATTACTATTACTATTATTTTAAGTTTTGCTCCACATTGTTCCCCCACTCTATCCAGGACTTCCTATTATGATCCCTTTCAGACTGGTCAACACTTATATCTGGGTACCATCTACCCAAGGTCATGGAGGCTGGAATTCTTGTGGTCTATTTGTCCTTTGGACTAATTGTTTCCTTGTATCCTTGATTTTCTTCACTCTTCTTTGGTCCAGATGGGGAGAGATCAATAGTTGTAGCTTAGATGGCTACTCACAGCTTTTAAGATTCTAGTCACTACTCACCAAAGTGGAATGTAGAATATTGTCTTTGTGGACTATGTTATGCCAATTGACCTTGATGTCACCTAAGCCTATGGTCCTGACCCCTTCAGGCTCAGAAACTCATTCCTTCAATGTGTTTGGTTCTGGCTAAGAAGTTTTTATAATTTTGCCTTTTGTATGCTCTATATACATACACTATGTTCATGGATATATTTGTAGCACATATAAATGCATATGTAAAAATATCCTTTGTAAAACCTATATATATTTATGGGTGTAAACCCATCCACCTTCCCACACCTGTTCTAGCTATGCTGTTTTATTTCTCTTTGTCATCCTTCTGTGTTGAGCTTTACTTTCTTTTTCACAGTCCGTTCTCACCTGTCATTCCAACTAGTGGTAAAGCAGATCATCACATGTCAGGATTTTGCAACCTCTACTTGGGAGCTCTGGTGGCGTAGTGCCTAAGCTATTTGACTGCTAACCAGAAGGCTGGTGGTTCAAACCCACCAGCCACTCCTTGGGTGGAAGACTGGCCAATCTACTTCCCTAAAGATTCCTCCTCAGAAACCCAGGGAAAGGTCACTATGAGTCCAATCAACTCAATGGCAATGAGTTTGATTTTTTGACTTTGTAGCTTAATAGAGTTAGTAGGGGTAGAGTTTATTTTATAAGTAGATGGATTTGATAAGTAGGTGACAATTTTCAGATAAGATAAAACCTGTAACAGAAATCCCAAATGAAGGGTCATCTAAACACTTATTATTATTGCTGTAGACAGTCTCATTTTCTCTAATCAGAGAGGTGTTTGGAAGCAGGGTGTGGCCTGCTCTTATGTGAGAATAGACATTTGCAAAGACAAGGGACATGAGCTTGGTGTCCAGGATGAAATAATCCTGGTGATCTTGATGGCACTTTTTTTTAAATTATTGTTATTGTAATTGTTCTATCATAGTCAATACTTTCTTACCATAAATGTGAATGTTGACTTTTAATGTCACCTAAGACTATGGTCCTGAGCCCTTCAAGCTCAGCAACTCATTCCCTCCATGAATGAGGCATATTTAATTTAGAAAGAAATTTATAAATACAATGGGAAAAAGATAGAGGATTCTTTTTACTCTTGGATGGCACTGTAAATTTGTCACTGCTGAGAATTATAAGCTATTTGTAGACAGGCACAAGACAGTGAAGCATTAATTAAAACCTCCATTAAATAGCAGTTTCCCTTATTGCCAACTAGACATGACCACCTCTTCAACTGAGAGGAAAGAGATAGTGAGAGAGAAAGAAAAAAAGTTAACATGTACTGAGGTCTTTCTATGTGTCAGATATTTAGTAAGATATTTTATAGAAATGTTACCTTTTTAGTATGCTCAGGAATCCTGTATGGATTTTTATGTTCACTTCAGTCTTATTTTGAGTTTAAGTGACTTCCCCAAGGTTGTGCAGATGGTAAATAATAAAACTGGGATTCATGATTCATAGATTTGCTTTTTCATTATCTTACACTTTCTATGTCTGATTTATCATTTCGTCTCTCACAGTGCCTTTCAAAATGACTTATATCTAGTAGGTATTTAATAAATAAAGTATATCTGTAATTAAAGCAATTAACACAAGGAATTGTGGGCAGAGCCAAAGCCAAATTGTGTCTTGTTTTCTTAATTCAGTTCTATGCATTTTTGAATGTCATTAACTGGATACATTTTAGAGATAAATACCAACACTTATTTGATTCTTTTCTTCTCTCTCTCTTTCTTCTTTCTTTTCTGTGTGATATATCAATAGAATACATCATAAGTTATTCTTTATAACTTGTCTTTCCCTAGAAGTAAATATGATACTTTGGACAACATTTTCTGTTCATATAAATTATATTATCACCCTGGCTACCTTATTTGAAGAAGCTAACAAATTCATGTGGCAATTTATTAAATGATTGTATATGCTCATTCCTGTGAAAAGCAGAAGTCTCACTGATAAGAGAGATTCCTTCCTTCTTTCCTTTTCTTCCCTTCTGACATAGATCATGAACTATACTTTGCATTCTCTGTAAAGTCTTTGTGTCAGATTTCGTAGGACAGAAGGAGGTAAAGGGAGAAGGGAAGCAGTGAAAGGGTGTAAGTATGTATAATCAGAATATGAGAATTAAACTTTCGCAAAATTTGGTCATCTAAGCAATGAGGATATTAATATATGTATTCTTATTTTGCATGTATTTTATAATATAACTGTATATTATGTATGTTGTTGTTTAGTGTTTGCAAGTTAGTCCCAACTCATAGCAATACTCCATAAGAAGAAAAAAAAACAAACTCACGGCCATTGAGTCGGATCTGACTCATTGCAATCCCTCTTTCTGAGGTAGTATCTGTATGGAAGTAGATTGCCCAATATTCCTTCCGGGTAGTGGTTGGTGGGTTTGAACTGTCAGCCTTCTGGTTAGCAGTCAAATGCCTTAGGCACTACACCACAAGAGCAACACTATGTAGAACAGAACAAAACACTGCCTTGTCCTGTGCCATCCTCACAATCTTTAGTAGGTTTGAGCCCATTACTATAGCCACTCTGGTCTCTCCTGCTAACATGTCCAAAGTAAGTGAGACAAAATCTCACCATTCTCACTTCTGAGGAGCATTCAGGCTATACTCTTACAATACATATTTGTTCATTCTTCTGGCAGTCCATGGTATATTTGGTATTCTTCACCAACACCATAATTCAAATACATCAGTTCTTCAATTTCTATATTCATTGTTCAAGCTTTTATATGCCTATGAAACCATTGGAGG